CTTATCCAGCTATTTCAGAAAGGTTTTGATAGCAACCGTGGCCTCAAATGTTAACCTAAATGTTTTTGATCCTAAACATGTGCCGTGCGCAATGCCTGGGTGAACGTCACATTTTTTGGCGTAATATCGAAACACTAACGTAACGGCAATAATAGGTGTAATTGGGCACTAAATCACTTGTCGCGCACAAGATCCATAGTCGCGATACACGCCTTTTGTTTTACTCTCGCGTCACGGATAAAAACTAATTAGATTTTCCATTTGGTTGCGATGTTTACTGCCGTAGAGTAAATTACCTCGGTTTCTTTTGATGTCATAAATTGAAAAACTAATTGTCGTTGGTTTGTGCGGCGGGCAAAAATCGCGAGCAACGGGTCCCAGCTGAGAGAAGGGAATACACGAAGGTTGCCTGATATGAAACTGAGTTTGTGTGTTTGGTGAATTTTTTTCTTTAACATGTTGAGGCACTCGAATTCGCATTTTATTATTTTTAGTTATACTAAATGGTCATCTTGATAATGTCCGTTATTGCTAACCACTTGTAATTGTCGAGATGATTGATTTATTTAATAAAAGTTTATACTAGTTGATTTATGGTCTGTTTTTGGCTATTAATGCATATATCAATATTTTTAATCATTTAATCAATGCTTCCGTTAGTTGTATTACTGTTTTAAGTTTGCTCTTACTAAAACGCTGTGCAAGTTCCTCTAAGTACGCCTGAATTAGATTTAGTTTAAATATGCCTGAATAAATTTGCTGTGTAACTGCAATGCATGTATTATTACCGCTACCGTTTAATGAGAAATGTAATATCGTATATGTTTGGATATTTATACAACTTTTGTTAGTTTGGTTTCAAGATAAATTCATTTGTAGGAATGCCTACTCTTTATCTAGAAAACCGTTTGTGACATTAGAGATATATATAAAATTCAGTAGTATACAGACTGTTTTTATATAACCTTTTTGAGTCATGGTTAGGTAAGCTTACCATATCACGCAGTCACTATATCTCAATAATTTTTTGTAAACAATAATATCATTAAGTTCCCTCAAACGTCTATTAAAATATGTCTTTTTGCCGCATAGATAATTCGAATTTGGGTAACACTTCGTTAGGGACAGCGTGGTCCAAGTAAATTGGTATAAGTTATCAGTCTTTGCTGAGCACAGTATTATTTACAACCAATTGTAAAGTTGGTTTTACGTCTCTTTAAGAAAAAGGTACCAAATTGAATTACCAATAGATGATAGTGTAAGGTCGCGTACGTCTTCATTTTGCGCCTACATACGCGGAGAATCGATTTTGACGTCAATCAACGCAACGAGCCACGCCCCTTAACTGATCGCAGAGTCTCAGGAACACGGCTTGTGCCTTTCACATAAACAATGTCGGTATAAAGGCTTCGTGGTCGTTTTGGCACGTACGCGAGAGGGATTGCTCATTTTTCGACTGAATTACGATCGGTACCATAACGAGGCGGGTTCTTTACGATCTGCGAAATTGCCGGTAACGATTCGGGATTCGCGCATCGAAAATTGTCCACGAATTTTCTTTTATCAACAGCCACCTTCCAACTTCCAACTTTGATATTCTTCATAAGCTTCTAACCAGTTCTCCTATTACTATAACTATGGCTAATTATATAACGTAATATGGAGAAATTCCTGTAGTATTCTCGGGAATCGGTCTTAAAAACATTGTGACATTTTCGGGTCAATATCAAAGAACCTTGTCGTAAAGACAAAAATGTCACTCTAAGCTCCGCCTTTGTCTGATACTGGTTGGTATACAGGGAATTCCTAAACATTATATCAATTTTATATAAGGAATTCCTATATTTTATGAGCAATTTAAGGTGAGAAATAATATTAATATATCATGTGTAATACAACAATAACTAAAGGTTTTTTTGTCAACCAATATTCCCATAACGTAGAAGACAATAGAAAAAAGAGTGGGCCAGAAATAGCAAAGAGCATTGTTTCACTGCTGACTTGCGTCTTATTGATAAATGATGTTGCAACCGTAAAAGTGAAATCTGCCTGCGCGGGGAGTCAAAAGAAAGCTGCCAAAGTCAATGATTCTTGGGTTCACCTCAGGTAATCGGCAAACGCAGGTGGAACTCTCACAGGCCAAACTTTATTAGGGTATTGTCGACTTGTTTGCTACCACGATGCTGGAGCGTATTGTTCCGTAAATTGCTGGCGGTTTCCTACCATTTAGAAAAGGCATTTTATAAGGAATAACTTGACTTTTTGTTGCCGGAAAAATAATTAAGAAACCGGCTGTTAGCTTAACTTTAATCTCTGCAGCTGCACCTTAGAAAAATCAGAGAGAAATCTACCACTCGCTATTTTCAATGGCCTAAGATTATTTTTGAATTACCAAATACTTAAAAAGAAACAAATTTAACAAATTGTGTGCATAAGTGGTTAAAGAAATACACGAAGTTGACTATTTCTATAATTCATAAAAATGTAAATTTTTATTATTGCTATTACAAATTTTTTTGTTTTGTTTTATTACCAGCCTATTAGTTGTTCTTGCACATTTGACTGTTGCTGTTATCATTTTATTTCATAAACTAGTACCTAGTTGTTTATGTTTACGTATTATACCAAAACTGCTATTATTATTTTTAGAATATAACCAAGTTAAAATGGAAATGCGAAACATTCTAAATATCGGTTCAGATTTTTTGCAGTACGCTTTTCTACGAAAGCAATAAAAGGAAATTCCCAGTAATTCCGGAGAAGCATTAGTTGTATAGTTAACGAGTTTCACTATACGAGAGGCACGCTCATTAATCGAGTTAATTAGAAATGATGAACAGTTTCAATTCAATTACGACGAGTTTTTAACGCCCGATGTTCGGCAAAATGCAACTTTTTCGCTTTTCTGAGTGAATGCCTTTTGTGAAGAACCCAAATTGATTTCAATTGGAGAACATTTCTGTTGTTTTATTTTCTATAACGTTTATCTCGACCGCTGAATAGTTCATAAATAGCCACACGCGTTGATTTTAAACTGCAATCTCAGTTCGGTCTATTTTATTAATCAGTCACAGCAAAGGAATCGATATACTCACCCTGTGGGTACCGCCTGCAATTATATCACGAGCCGTATACGCCGATAGTTCCATTCTGGTTCTAATATTTTCTATACCAGCGTACCATTGTTATTCTAATAAGCGTTGCCTTGTTAAACTAATTGCGTTCATTGTTGTTAAATTGATAGAATAATGACACGCAGTTAATAAGCTTTTCGCCCGATTCTGTGGTAATTAACCTAAATTGGTAACCGCGTCTCAGTCTGGCACTCGTTTGTTTTCTTATTACGTGTTAGGCCTGCCCGTTATTGGAATAATTGTCGACAACTTTCGCCAATGAGACGGTGAAAATGGCGTCGCAAGTAAAAAACGTTCGTGTTTTATTTTTAACGTATTTTGTCATTATAATTTAGCTCCGATATTTCTGGAATAGAGGACGTGCCTGCAATATGTGTATGATTATCAGAAAATAAACAAGACCCGTCAGTCTGCGGTAAGAAAAAACACGCAAGTGCGTTTTACATTATCCTCGCCAGAATGAAATGGGTCATCGCACCAGAGAACCTTCTCGGTTTCTGAGAAGAGCGGAATTGCGAGATGTTAACACGGTGTTTTTAATTATTTATTATCTGCGTCCGTCATTTGAAATGTCGTCTTTGCGTATAAGAAAGAGTTTAAGTCCTTAGATCTATAAATTTTATTTTAAGCAACTTTTCATTTTTTGTTTTGTATTCTTTTATTGACGAATTTAAAAAAAAATACAACTTTGTTACAGTATTGAAAATTTTCTGTCACAGTGACAAAACTTTGTCAGTTTTCACTTTTATGTATACACGGTGTTCTTCGCTTTTTGGATGTCTTTTTTAATGCTGTGTATAATATCTACAGGGTGTTAAAAAAATGCGCTTCTAAGTTTAAGCCACTAAGTTCATAAGCATTAAAAAACATTTAAAATATCCGATCTTCTAGCTGATTTGCTTTCTTTTTTTTAATTTAACTTTGGTGCTTTCGGTAGTAAGGGTCTAATTCAGGTTCTTTAATACCAGTCTCGTTCCGGTAGACATTCAAGGTTTTAGACAAAAAATGTTCGCAACTGACATTTTTCATATTCTTTGCATTTCTTTTAGAATTAAACGACTAAAAATACATTTTTTTTTGTTTCTTTTCTTATATCTCGTGAGGTTAATGTTAAATTTAATGCAGCGGTTTTTGCTGCTTTATATTTTTTATATCCAATACGAAGCGAGTTACGAGAGAAAATTAAGGACCAAACACTTTATTTTTAGCTGCTTAATTAGAAAAAAAAGTAGAGAAACGTCAACGGAGCACCTTATTAACACCCTGTATATGATATGAAAAAACATTGTTATGGGAAAAATTACTCAGCAAAACCCATAAAAATTAGAAATTAGAAGATTGAGGACGTAGATATTGACAAATGATATAGTTTTAGGAATAGGAAAGAATTTTTGACATCTGACAATACGATATCTTATTCAATTTCAACAAAGCCCGTTGGATGAAGATTTGTAATTTTTCAATATGTTGCGTTGGTTACTTGGACGGTTTATATGCTTTTAATAATTAGCTATGGAAGAAAAATGTATTTCTATTGTTCTGAATTAGTATCTTTTGAAAACTATTTAAAAAAACTCTTCATAAACAAAGTAACAAGTATTACCCTGTAAATATTATAAAATTACTATATATATGTGCATAACCCTAAAATTTTAATTAAGTGCTTCTGTCTTTGAAAATGCAAGAGTGATACGAAAACTACGTCAAGTAAAAGCAAAATTAATGGCAGACAATAAACAAAATGTCACGCATGCCGTTCGATAAAGGTCAGCAATTTTCCGTTGTGCTGTTCCCAGCCAGAGGAGTTTCAGGAACTTGAACAATAATAGACCGCGTTTAAATAAAACATTACATTTAATAGCAATATTTTAATCGATATATTCACAAGCTCAGCCTCGTCGCGAGCATATTACGTAACAGTCTTTGAGAAGGGTTCTGTACAAACGTTTCGTGTTTTTCTCTACGCAACAAAACAGGCAAGTAAGAAATTTTCGCGATTAAAAAAAAATAAATACGACGTATATAGGAAACATATTGAAATAATTTTTTACACATTGGGCATATTTACAAATATAGAGAGTTTGACTCTTGTTTTACTCATCACTCATTTTTCTAAACGAACGTTATCCCGACTATATCACACGCTGCATTCACATTGCACTCACAGTTCGAATTTATATTAAGTAGTATCACAATAGGCTGACATTAGGAATAAATTACGCTATAACGACTACCCTTACTGTCATATGTGGATGGCCACTGTCCTGGGTCCGCCTGTCCCAGCGCACGGCGCCGAGGGCGCCTGTCCCCTGGCACTATGCCTGTGTACGTGATGGTGCACGTGGGGTACTCTCACCGACGGGTGACGCCGATTGTTCTGTACATCGGGCAGGGCGAATTTCAGCTTCTCCCAAAATAACTTTTCGCCCCACTGCAGATAATAGTTCGTTTTTAAACATAATCTGATGTCAGGGTCCAGATCTTTGTGAGGCACCTCCCCCAGCAGTACCACAATGAGACGCCGCCTTCTGTCGCGCATCACCTGGTGATGCGCCGACTTAAACTCGAACCTGCACCACTCGGACTTGATAAAGTTCTCCGAGAGCACCATTATGGTTCGCTTGGAGGAATCGACAGCCTGAGATATGGTGTCGGCCAAAAATGCCGTCCCTACAGGAAAATCTCTGTAATGCAAACACAGTTTGTAGTTTGGTTCTAGCGCTGGGGCTAGCACCTCGGCCACCCACGCCTCGTCCTTCGAGCTGTAACTCACAAACGCATCGAACAGTTTGTCCTTATCGTCGCGATCCAAGTCCCCGCGACTTTGGAAGAAACGTAACCCAAATTTCGCATGGAACCATACGCGCAACTCCTGTCGGAAAACGAACACGGTCAGGGTCACGGCGACGACCGCCGCGAACACCGCCAAAGTAACGATCAAAAGCGGCAGGTAATCGTGGAAAACGTGCTGTTTTATAATAGTTTTGGTCGCCGTTAAATTCCCGTTTATGGCGTTGTCTATGTTAGGCGCACCCGTACATGCAGAACCGTTCTGCTTAGTTACGTAAAAGCCGAGCTCTGGATTGTCCGCGTACACTTCCACCGTGTAGTAATTTATATCCGTCGCGTTGTAAACGCACCGCACCGAGTTCATGTCTCGAACAGCGTCACCTCTAACCATCCACTCGCGCATCTTCTCTACGTATTCACATTCGCACGACCATGGATTATTGGCCAATGTCATTTCTATTAAGGAAGTCGATAACGTCCACAAGTCGAACGCGGTCAGTCTATTGTGATCTAAGTACAGTACTTTGAGATGCTTCAGTCCTTTAAACGTGACGTTATCAATCGACGAGATGCGATTGTTTTGCAAATAAACTTCCCCAAGCCGTTCCAAACCTTCGAACTCGTATCCACGTAGTGCGGCCAGTCGATTGCTATCCAAGTGCACGATTTCCAACTCTTTCAGTCCATGCAACGTTCGGTTTTGTATCAGCTCGATGTTGGAATTATTTAAGAATAAAATCTTCAGTCTCTTGCGACCGATAAAAGCGTGACTGTTCAGTACTCTCAAGTCGTTTCCATCCAGATACAACTGAGTCGCGTCCATAGGAATTTGGTCCGGCAGTTTTGTGACATAGTTACTGGTCGAGCAGTCTACTACGTTCGCTGACCAAGACTGGTCGTGATAGCAAGTGCAATTGGTCGGACACGTCATTTCGCAGTCGCACGCGTCAAAATCACAGCAGTGGCAAAGGGCGAAACAATGGGTTTCGTAGGAACATAGGAACTGATACGGAGCGGCTTCGACGAGAGGGACGTAGGTGCGTCCTCTGTTGTAAAGTAATTGACAGTATATGCTCTCCAGATCGACAATTTTCGGTTGCGTGCGCGCCCTGTTGTCCACATTAACTTTCTGGAGCCACTCCATGGTGCAGTCGCACTTGTAAGGATTGCCACCGATGTAGAACTCGGGGAGATCCTTCTCCAACGGTACCGCAGATATGCGCAGCGAATTCGGGTCTAGGTTAGTAATTTTGTTGCCAAATAGATCGACGCGGGTCAGATTCGGCTTTTTGAAAAACGTGTACGACTGCACTTTGGTTATCAAGTTGTCGTTTAAGAACAAAACTTCGACGCTGTTCGGAATGGCACTGCCGGTAATTTCTGTTAGTCTATTAGAACTCGCGTCGAACGTGCTCAACGACAGGCTGGACTCTATCTCAAAATAATTACCCAACTCTTTAATTTGGTTGCCGTGAATGTCTAGCCATTGGAGTCCTGTGGGTATCATGGCGTAATCGAACCACGTGAGTCTATTGTCAGAGATGTTAAGCCACACCAAACTCGGCAGTTTGGCAAACAAGCCTTCAATATCCGTCAAAAAGTTTCCGTCTAAACGTATTGCCTGTAAATTGAGGTTGTTGTCGAAACTACTCTTTTCTACCTTTTGGATCTTGTTCCGCGACAAGTTTAATATTTTTAAGGCGTCCATTTTGTCGAACACGCCTCGCGTGACGTTGCCGATATTGTTTTCTGTCAATCGCAGTCCGTACATTTGCTTCAAATCGCTAAACGTGTCGTTGCTTATGTAATCGATGTGATTTTCCCCCAAATCCAAAGTCTTCAGCAAAGGGACATTTTTTACAACGTCGGGTACTTGTAACAACTTGTTGCCATTAAGGTGCAAGTCCTGCAAACTAGAGCAGTTTCTCAAAGCTTCGTGGTGGATCCAACTGATGCGGTTGTTATCCACAGAAAGTAACGAGAGCACAAAAAGTCCGCTGAAAGTGTTGGCTTCGATCCTCGTGATCTTGTTGTTTGATATAATCAACGTATGGAGATTGTAGAGAGCGGCGAATGTGTTTTCCGGTATCGTTTCCAGAAAGTTGTCATTTAACCTTAAAATTTGGAGACTGTACAAGTCCCTAAACACGGACGACTCCAATTTTCCCATCCGATTATACGAAATGTCGAGTACCACGAGTCTCACGAGTCCAGCGAACGTTGCCGAATTAATCCAATCGGCGGTGAGTTCGTTGTGGGACAAATCGAGCACCAAAAGCTGAGTCAGCTCGCCGAATAGTCCGGGTGCGAGCACGTTTATAGAGTTATTTTGTAAGTACAACTCCCGGATGTCGCGAGTGTCCGCAAACAACTCCGGAGGCAAATTGACTAGACGATTATCCGAGAACTTTAGAATGTTCAACGCCGTTAGGCCTTCCAACGCGCGATCCGCTAAAACCGACAGACCGTTTCCTTGCAAATACAATTTCTCTAGACGCGACAGACCGGAGAATTGACCAGATGGCAACCTGTCGATGTTATTCCGCGACAAATCCAAGATTTTCAGGTTGGAACCGCACCGTTCCGAGTGCCCCTGCGAGAACCTGAAGCTCCCGACTTCTCGAAAACGGTTCTTGGTTAAATTGAGAACCTCCAACGAATACAGTGGACAGAGGGTGCCTTCGGGTAAGCTCCACATATTGTTCTCCCCTAAATCTAGCCGTTCTAGCAATCTCAGCTCGTCGGAGAACGCGTTGGGCGCTACATCGAGGGTCATCGCGGACCAATCGGTGTTGTGAGTTTTTACCGTTAAATTGCGCAAATCTTTTAAGCCGCGAAAGGCGCCGTCTGACAAATTGCCGATCTTGCAATATTCGATGGATAACTCGCGTAACTCCACCAGCGGTTTAAAGCTCCCGGCACTGAGCGAACTTTGAAAGAACAACGCGTCACTACATTCGAGCCTCAGACGCACCGTGTGATGGGGCTGGATCACGCTAAAATTGGTGTTTTCCAACTCGCTGTTGATGGTACGCAAACGGCAAACGAGGGCGACGTCATCTTCGCCACCGCCGTCTACCATCACCCACTTGCACTCATCCGGCGCTTGATAACGTAACGTTTTGCTGAGAGACGCGGACAAAACCCCGAAGATGGCACCGAACAACAACAGCCATATCGCGGCTGTGCCCATCTTGCACTAGAGCTACACCATGTTAGTCTGTCGCGAATGTTACGTTGTTCCTGTTTCATAACCGCCGTCGCGTGCACGTCACCAAGTACTCTCGGGATCGACTGCCGTGCCGTTCGCACCGGCCACGATGCAAGGCCACGAACTCTTTGCGGTATCCCTCCTCCTCTTCAGGACTGGTAGTCTGACGGTCGATCTTTGCACCGTCCGGTAAAGTTACAGGTAAATCGGTACTCGCGATTGACTAGTACCCTGTAAAATGGCATTGCGCAATTATTGTGGCAGAGCGAGGGAGAAATGGACCGAGGCAATCGATAGATCTTTGGTACAAATTGTTGCGGACCACTCGGGAAGTGCAAGAAAGAAATTAACTATGAATAAATAGTATTTAGAACTTAAGTTTAAGCAGCAAATAGCAATTAGAATTTTCAGCTGTTCATGTTTCGCCTTAAGTACCATTCAGCACCAAATTCTAGGTTATAAAAATTATGCTAATTGAGCAATGGGCGTTTTATATATTTTTATATAAATAGTAGCAACTACAAAGAAAATATAAAATGTATTCTAATAACCATTACAAAAAATTTTTCATATAAATAGCAAAAGTTTCATGTAGCACTTATTGATCATTGTGTGATCTCAATTTTTATGTATTCAATGAAGTACATATACTAATTTTGCTCGTTAACCTAATTTTAAGTCGAAAATATGGTACGTATAAAAATTTTGCGGATGTCGCTTCATTTTCAAAATTCAGAAGGTTAAGATTTTTTAAAACTTAGTAGCGTGAGTTTATTTGGTTTCCTTTCTTAACCAATAGATTTCTTTAAAAGAGACAACTAAAAAGGTGATTTTTTTGGCGTGAAAAAAAAAAACAATGCACGCATAACATAAATAATTATGTAAAAAATCTACCCATAAAAAAATCCCCGAAAAAAAAAGTGAAAGTCAAAAATTTACCATTTTCCGACTAATACAGACAAAATAAAATTGAGATAGTAAATTTCAGCTTCCAAAATTGTGTTAATTGTGTATCGTTTTACAGTGAAACTACTTACCTTCCTTTTAAGAATGAAGGACCTGTATCATTTTGATTAATTTAAAAATTATTATTATTAATTATATTTAATATTAATCTTTTACAAATTGCCGTTAAAAAAGGTACAAATACATTTTTCCCCGTGATCAGAAGAACGCCAACTGTAGTAACTGTACAAATGCTATTTAAATATTCAATACACTACTCTTTCATCGTTTGATTGGGAAAACTTTTGCAATTGAAATTTCCACAAAGTTGATAGATTAGTTGATATCTCATTGTCTTATTAAAATGACTCATTTTGGCATTTTTCAGAGAAAGAATAATTTATACTGAAACCACATGCATATAAAACACATAGACTCACACGTCCGCTAAAAGAAATGGTGTTTGTCTCAACGAGTTCGAGCACTAACAGATTGCCCGGCGGTTAACCGGAATGAAAAACGCGGACATTAGGCACTTTGGCTTGAAGAAATCGAACAAGACAGAAGTTCTGACAATAACGGAGGAGTAACGCGTACGTGTTAAGGCATGGGAATGCACGAGAAAATACTAATTCGGAGTACGGGTACATTTTTCTTTTTTACCTAAATGATGCGACGGTCGTTGGAAAGGTTCGCGTTCTGACCGAAAGTTGAAGTCTCGTGCCTTTTCCTTCACAGACTTCCAATGAATGAGACCGGCATAAATTATTTCATAAAATTACTTGTTGCTTTAGACATGTACGTTATGGATGGGTAAGGTGGGGGTGTTGCACACCTTACAGCCCCATTTTCATAATAAGGGGCAAACGCAGACCTTACTATAAACCACCTCCTTCTCTACTGCATTGGCCTGAAAAAAAGTATCGGAAAAGTCGACTTTGACTGGTATTTATTTAAAATCGAGAAGAAAAACCTACTGTTAGTCCCTCCCAGGAAGAGGGTGTAGATTTCGCTACAATAAGTGGCGGAAAGTCGATTTTGACTGTAATTTAATTGAAACCGACAAGCAAGAGCAATTATTTGGGCGACGTTGTCACCATAAAGAACCGCAAGAAAGCAAAATATTCAGAGGACGGGTACATTTTTTTTAGTTAAATGATGCGACGGCCGTCGGAAAGGTTCGCGTCCTGATCGACCGTTGAAGTCTCGCAATTTCTCCTTTACAGTCGTCCAATAAATAAGACCGGCTTTAATCATTTCATTTGTCTTAGACCTGGGATGGATGTGTGCTTAATAAAACAGTAGCATTACATTTTATTAATACATAATCGTGTTACATATCTATTTAATATAGGTTATTGAATCGAAAAATATTAATATATAATGATGATATCAACGTAGGTGATACAATTTGTTATTTTTATTTAAACAATGAAAATATATCACAAGCTCAACGCTTTCCTGGACGAACTATATTGAATATTAAACAATGAACTTGCGTTATTTAAAAATCGAAAAATTCAATATTGACAATATTGAGGAAGTCGGGATGCAAAGAACTTTCACACTGATATAAAATATAACATATCTTTCAAAATTAATTATCTTTACGACGATCATTTGTTTTTATTTACACAACTTCCTGACTAGCACTTTTAAAAAATCCTGAGGGTCAAAATACAAATGGAAACTGTGCACATCAAAAGAGACAACTATATATCTTCGCTAATGTTAAAATTAAAAAATATTTATGTTGGAACTATAATAATTTCTGCTTATTTTGAGTTATTATTTTGAACGTTTACAAACCTGCAATCTCGAACACCTACTAATAAATAATTAAAAATTTAATTTTTTAATTTAAAAAGTTATTTTCAAATCCCCAAACGTTTGACGACGATGGAACTTTAGAGGCCGTAAAACAGCACTCAAAAACACCGGTAAGCGGTTTTCCGTTTGGCAAGGGAGTTTAAATTCACTTTGCCGTTCATTTTTAATTCGAACGAATAAAGAAAACGACAACCGACACCGGCGGCGGCTTCGGTTAGAAAACGACCGAGTCGCCGCCAATTACCATGAAAACTCCTAGGGCCGGTTCTTCAATCCCTGACTAACTTAAGCCTACCTGCATCTTAATTTAAACGTTGATTTACTTAAAAAAGTGATTTTCAATGACCCAGCAAAATATGTATATTCGCAAGTTTACTATTGATTAACCTAACCGTTATTTAAAGCATAAGTTTATTTTCTTCATTCTTAACCTCCAAGGGTATCTAGCATTTCATTTACCACTTAATCTGGGATCGCCTGATTTGAATATTCTTAAGAATGTTAGCGAAAAACCGCCAAAAGTTATGATCTTATATGGAATATTTGAATAATTTTTGGAGAGGCACTGTCAATCCATGGTACCGCCAACATTGCAAAAAACCACAATAGTTGTCACCAAGACAGCTCGCAATATGGTCGTTTCTTCATGTCGGTTCCGACTTTATAGTCCAAGACAGCAGATGATACGTCGCTCTAATTCTAGAGTAGCTACTTCACCTATTTTCTAAAAATTTTTCTTTCTACGTCTTTGCCGTTTTTTTAGACATTGCGTTGCTATGGACATATAGCAGCTTTATGAAATTTCATTTTTATTTTAAAATTACAACTGAACAACATGTACCGTCTAAAGTCTGGAGTATCAAATTGTGTGCTAAAAGGGGTTTATCAATTGCGGTGTTTTTTTAAAGCTGTTAGATGAAAAAATATAAAACGTAAAAAAGGATCGTGTGCCTTCGGGTGCCTCATTCATCTGCCATTCAATTGATTTTGCACTCCCAATTAGGCGCTCTGTCAAATTGCAATATGGTTAGAGTTATAGTTTCTTCTAATCTTACGTTTATTACATGCTGCTGTTTTTTGTTCTCTGCGAGGCAAGTTCTGTTGTCTCTATTCTTAAAGATTGGTTGGTTTAGATTTAGTATGATTCAAATTTATTTGTACTGATGTATATCTATATATAAATATGATTGACCAGGACTATAATGAATATATTTGAAGTTGCGTCAATTACTTCTTGGAAAAGTTCTGATGAGGATGAAATGTTATTAGTTGCGGGCAAATTAAAAAATCGCACTTTTCCGTCTTACTAATTCGATGTCAAATTCAAAAAATTTCAAATTAACTTATACCATGAAACACAGAGTTCACTTTTTAACTGCGGTCCTGAATAATTGTGTGATGATTATTGAGCCGTGAAATTTTTCGCTTCCCCGAACCTCTTTGTTTACAGACTTCACCCTGTAATACATTCTGCAACAATTGCCATTCATGATGTGTTTCAGATACCGTAAATCTCTTGTTTCGATTTTAATACCAATTTATTTCTCCTTTACCATTCTTTGGAGGATTGTTTCATTCGTGGCACTGTCTATCCCAGACACCCTTACCATTCTTCAATACAGCCACAAGTCAACGACTTCTAGATGAACGATGACAGAAGAAATTACCGCATATATAGGTAACCGCTCTAGTCTTGTTATGTCAGAAAGAGAAGAAGATGAACTGTCGTTTCAAAAACATCTTCGACAATACTAGATACCTATTCTAGCTTCAGTGCGTTGCATTTTGTACATTTCAACTATAAGCGATATTTTTTTAATATGCGGGATATAAAATATTTCTTAGCATCACTAGCAGTGCGTAGCCGGTTTATAAATGTTTTACGTATCGCAGTTGTTTTTCTAAATCAGCTCCACGGTTACTTATTACACAGGAAAACCGCGGTTACCGATCGATACATTTTTAATCGAGCCGTAGATGTATTCGCAATGCTTCTCTGCAGAACGGATACAGCTGTTTTGCTTTAAATGGCAATCGCTTTGCTCGATAAATAATCAAATGACCGATGTTTGTGAGGAAATAGAGGCTTTGCGTTTGTGTCGTATTGTTTCGTATCGTCGCATTTTGTTTACGATATTCCCATTAACTTGCGCTTATCGCGTCTCTTTAAATAACCCACCCATGCGTACGATTAAAAACTGAAAATGATTCAATGATCTGCGCTAAACCCGCGGTCAGTACGCTTTGAACTAGCAAATTGACCATTATCGTATATTACTGGTACGAAATAAGTAT